GGCGGAAAAAGGTCAAAACAAAAAAAAGGAAAGAAGTAAGGAAGGAGAGCTCCGTCTGTTCATCACCTCTTACGTACAAGGCCATGCCAGCCACGTGGATGACAGGTTGAGCGCTGGCTGCCCCCTTCCCCGTGTGTCACAAGCACCCACTTGCACATATATATCGTCACAAACAGTCGTCACAATATATCGTCACAAACAGAACTGCCCGGTAAACCGTAGGCTATCGTCACAATATATATATCGTCACAAACAGAACTGCCCGGTAAACCGTAGGCAGAGAGAGAGAAGAGGACAACAAACGAGGGGCTGTGACAAACTGTTTCGTCGGAGTTTCACCGACTCATCAGGAGGCTGATATATATATATATATATATATATATCGTCACAAACAGAACCGTAGGCAGAGAGAGAGAAGAGGACATATATATCGTCACAAACAGAACTGCCCGGTAAAACCGTAGGCAGAGAGAGAGAAGAGGACAACAAACGAGGGGCTGTGACAAACTGTTTCGTCGGAGTTTCACCGACTCATATACATATCGTCAGAAACAGAACTGCCCGGTAAACCGTAGGCAGAGAGAGAGAAGAGGACAACAAATGAGGGGCTGTGACAAACTGTTTAATATATATAATATATATATGTGTGTGTGTGTTCTAAAAATAACACTCATTTTAGACGATAGAATTGAAATTACAATTATGGATTCTACCATGCAATCAATTCAGCACGTAATAAAAAAAATATTAAACGAAGCAAAACAGTAATTGAAAAAAAAAAAACACTTATGAGAAACCTCTTGAACGAAGGAATTAAGGAAGGAACGAAGGAAGCAGAGAAACAAAGAAAACACAGAGAGAGAGAGAGAGAGAGAGAGAGAGAGAGAGAGAGAGAGAGAGAGAGAGAGAGAGAGAACTGCCAGGGAAAATGGAGAAGCAGAAGGAAAGAAACTTAAGATGGATATCAATCATCATCCTTAATTACCGTTGGATTTTCCTCAAGACTTATCCATATTCTGAAAATGGGCCTCGTCGCACCACTCACCAAATGTGCAAAATGAGAATGAATCTTGGGCTAGAACATGCAAAGATACATGGCCATAATTTTTGTCTTTTGTGCATTTGGTGCATAGTGCGGGGAGGCCCTTATCTTCCTGCTACTTCATTCAATATTACATTTATATCCTTAGCACACACACACAGACAAACAGACACTGGATTTTGGGGGGGCGGGGGGAGTCAAAAAAAGAGAAATAAAGATACAGATCGCATACATTGTCCTTATGCAGAGACATTACGCACACGTCTGATTAAAAAATAGAGAGAGAGGAAAACATATATTCCTAAACGACACTTGCAAAAATTCAAAGCTAAAAATAACAATCTGCTTTCTGATTCCTAAGACTTACTATAAATAGATAGATCGATGCATAATTAGATTAATAGATAAAATGGATAAATATATCTATATCTATATCTGGGATCTGTTTTGTTGCCCCCTGTTCTGTATTATTTGGCTGTTCCCTTCCTCTTTTCTTTACCTTTTTTTGCCTTTTGGCCGTGTGCAAGTGGGTCGATATGACACACGGGGGTGGGGGCAGCCGCCGCCGCTCAACCTACATCCACGTGGGCGGCCTTGTATGCAAAAGAGGTTCTTTTTTAACAGAGGGAGTCTTGTAAGGAAGAAGAATATTAAAAATGAATCAAGTTTTTTCTTCTTTAAATTCCTTGTTTTCTTTCTGTTTTTTCGCTTTGGCGCTCTGATATCATGTGACAATATATATTGTCACAAAGTTGTATATATTGTCACACTGTGAATCAGAGCGCGAAGGCAAAAAAAAGCAAAACAAGGAAAGGAAAAGAAGAAAGGAAGGAAAGCCCCACCTGTTCATCACCTCTTCCGTACAAGGCCATGCCAGCCACGTGGATGACAGGTTGAGCGCTGGCTGACCCCATCCATCCCCGTGTGTCACAAGGACCCCCCACTTGCACGCACGCAGCCAAAAGGCAAAAAAGAGGAGGCAAAGAAAAGGAGGAGGAAACCAGACCTCACAGAGGCAAGAGAAAGAGAAAAAGATCCAATCAAAGAAAAAAAGACAAAGGAAGAGGAAGAAGGCCTATCTATCAGTCAAACAAAGCAAATGCCACATCCCACACATAAACCAATTGCCACTGTCACGCCGAAGGTTTTTTTTTTTTTTTTTTTTTTTTTTTTTTTTTTTTTTTTTTTTTAATTTTTTTTTTTCTCCTTTCTTCAACTCAACATCTGTCCTACATAAACCAAAGAAAACAGAAGCAGGTAAAACTTGCTAGTATCGAAAGCTTTATCTGTCCTGCAATAATTAGTGTGTTGCTCCTCAGGTTTGAGTCCTGGGGCTTCACTTTCACCCCAGCCCACTTGGCCTTATGGTTAGGTGTCTGCCTGCTAAGCCGTTGACAGTGTGTTCGAGTCTTGGATTCGTCACACACACACTACCTGCTTCTTAATTGCATTGAGACCAGTCAGGAAGAGGAGCCCCCACCCCCCCCCGCCCCAGATAGGACAGGCGCGCTGAGGAGGATGACGTGGATGTTCACAAGGATACCCATCAGGAAGAGCTGCGCCAGCACAGCATTCAGCAGGACGGCTACCCAGCATGGACCATCCCATCCCATCAAAACGGTCCTGACAAAGGAAGGACATGCTGTCCACATGCCAAAAAAAAAAACCCAGCAGGACGTTCATCACAGTGCGGCATCATGCAGTTCTGATAGCGTCCTTGCGCACAAAAGGGACAACGAATATCTGGGTGATAGGGAGGGATGTGTGTACAATGAGGAAATGTTGGACACCCTTCGGCACAGACAGCGGCCGTTGCAATAGATTGATAATGGTGATGGCATAGATGATGAATTCCATAGCCAAGACGCACCTCGTCCATGTCCCGACATATATGTATATATACAAATATTGTTGTCCTCTTCTCCCTCTCTGCCTGCGGTTTACCGTAGGCAGCTCCTCCGTTTGACTATATATATATGTATCGTCACAAACAGAACTGCCCCGTAAACCGTAGGTATATATATATCGTCACAAACAGAGAGGATACCGTTTATATATATTTATATATCGTCACATTGTGAATCAGAGCGCAGAAGCGGAAAAAAAAAAAAGAGAAAAGAAAAAAAAAGAGGAAACTACGGCGCAGTCAGGGATTGAGTTTGTAATTGCAGTTGAGGCAAAAGGGCCGGTAATGCTGAATGTATGTGACCAACGTTTCGGGTCCGGTGGGGTCACGTGGGGGTGTGTTGTATTCGCGGGACTGCTTGAAGTGCAATTACAAACTGTTTTCGTGACTGTGCCGAAGTTACCCCAAAAAAAAAAGGGGAAAGAAAAAAGGAAAAGGAAAAAAGGGGAAGGGGAAGGAGGTAAGGAAAGCTCCACCTGTTCATAACCTCTTACGTACAAGGCC